ACACACACACACACACACGCACACACACTCACACACGCACACACACTCACATACACACACACACACTCACTCGCACACACGGACACTCACACACGCACACTCACGCACACACTCACACTCACGCACGCACACACACTCGCACACACTCACACACACGCACGCACACACACTCTCGCACACACACACACTCGCACACACTCACGCACACACTCTCGCACACACACTTGCACGCACACACACACACACTTGCACACACTCACGCACACACACACACACTTGCACACACTCACACATACACACACACGCACTCACGCGCACTCACACACACACACACTCACGCGCACTCTCACACACACTCACGCGCACACTCAGACACACACGCAGGCACACACACTCACACATACACACACACACACACACACGCACACACACACTCACACACACTCTCTCTCATGTCTGTTGTCTCTGTCAGGTTCACACACATAAGAAGCGCCAGACGCACCGGCCGGTGGAGGTGCGGGGGCCCCTGGGCTGCTGGGAAGGGCCGGTTCACGGGGCCCGGCAGCTGATGGATCTGTTCGCCGTCACCTGCATCGAGACGAGTCACTATGTGAGCTTCGTCAAACACGGACCCCAACCCACGGACTGGCTGTTCTTCGACAGCATGGCCGACCGAGAGGGTAATGTTTCATTAGATAATTCAGATTATATTTAAATATATCTAGTATTATTCATTTTTAATTATATTAAATATATTTATTAAATAAAACAATTCATATTTGATTTTTAAGCATTTTTATTAATTGAATAATTTTATAATTTTATTGTTTTTTTATTTTAATAATAATATTATTTTATTTTAGTTTTTATTATTTAATTTTTTATTTGCTTTAATCTGTGTGTGCGTGTCTGTGTGTGCATGTCTGTGTGTGTGTGTGTGTGTGTGTTTGTGCGTGTCTGTCTGTGTGTGCATGTCTGTGTGTGTGTGTGTGTGTGTCTGTCTGTCCGTGTGTGTGTGTGTCTGTCTGTCCGTGTGTGTGTGTGTCTGTCTGTCCGTGTGTGTGTGTGTCTGTCTGTCCGTGTGTGTGTGTGTCTGTCTGTCCGTGTGTGTGTGTGTCTGTCTGTCCGTGTGTGTGTGTGTCTGTCTGTCCGTGTGTGTGTGTGTCTGTCTGTCCGTGTGTGTGTGTGTCTGTCTGTCCGTGTGTGTGTGTGTCTGTCTGTGTGTGTGTCTGTCGGTCCGTGTGTGTGTCTGTCTGTCGGTCCGTGTGTGTGTCTGTCTGTCTGTCTGTCCATGTGTGTGTGTGTGTGTGTGTGTGTCTGTCTGTCCGTGTGTGTGTGTCCGTGTGTGTGTCTGTGTGTGCATTAAGCTAAAATTGTATATTAAAAACGATATATATAGACAAAATATGAAAATATGACTCAGATTTTTATTTCACCTATGCAGACACAAAAAATCATGCAAATTTCAACAATTAAATGTGTAAAAAGTCACATCTATAGTCAAACTTCCACTTCAGAGCAGCAAAACATTAAACAAACTTTATCAATTTGAAGAAAATCACAGAACAGATCAAAACACAAGAGATCGGCATTAACACAAATCATCAGTAGAACTTAACTATCAGCATGAGTGGGTTAAAGGTTTCATGTTAAATACACTGTGTGTGTGTGTGTGTGTGTGTGTGTGTGTGTCCGTGTCTGTGTCTGTGTGTGTCCGTCCGTGTCTGTGTGTGTCCGTGTCTGTGTGTGTGTGTGTCCGTGAATCAGAATTTAGCAGCCTCGGTCTCTGATTGGCTGGAATTATGGCACCTTGTAACACTGGGTTGTGTTGAGCACGCAAGCTGGTGGCATTTAGAGAGCAGTGAGGGGGGCATCAGGTGAGCAAGCTAGTGGAACGTTGCACGCGCTAAAGAGAAGGTCTGCACACATCCAAAAACGTATTTTAAATGCAAAATTAATTTTCATGCGCTCGAAATACTTTCTTCTTTGCGAGACAAACATTTTCTCCACAAAACTCAGTTCGCGCGCGTGCAAAACGCACTTTTGCGCGCTCAAAATATGATCTTTCGCGCAGAATTGTGGCAGAAATGTAATCCCATAGAGCTCCAGTCAGCAGTGGCTGCAGGGTCTGGTGCATCTGATCGGGAATCTGCTGGGATCCGCGGTGGCCGTCTACAAGTGTCAATCAGTGGGGCTCCTCCCGACGCACTCGTCTGATTGGCTGGCTGTTCAGAGCCTGAATAATTCATGAGCTCGTGTTTGTGTGTGCTTTCACATGGTTCTCATTGTGTTTGTTTTTCTAGAGACGAGATCATGGGCGGAGGGATGGTCATGTGACACACACACACACACACACACACACACACAGTGTATTTAACATGAAACCTTTAACCCACTCATGCTGATAGTTAAGTTCTACTGATGATTTGTGTTAATGCCGATCTCTTGTGTTTTGATCTGTTCTGTGATTTTCTTCAAATTGATAAAGTTTGTTTAATGTTTTGCTGCTCTGAAGTGGAAGTTTGACTATAGATGTGACTTTTTACACATTTAATTGTTGAAATTTGCATGATTCTTTGTGTCTGCATAGCGTGTTTGTGTGTGCTTTCACATGGTTCTCATTGTGTTTGTTTTTCTAGAGACGAGATCATGGGCGGAGGGATGGTCATGTGACACACACACACACACACACACACACACACAGTGTATTTAACATGAAACCTTTAACCCACTCATGCTGATAGTTCTACTGATGATTTGTGTTAATGCCGATCTCTTGTGTTTTGATCTGTTCTGTGATTTTCTTCAAATTGATAAAGTTTGTTTAATGTTTTGCTGCTCTGAAGTGGAAGTTTGACTATAGCTGTGACTTTTTACACACATTTAATTGTTGAAATTTGCATGATTTTTTGTGTCTGCATAGGTGAAATAAAAATCTGAGTCATATTTTCATATTTTGTCTATATATATCGTTTTTAATATACAATTTTAGCTTAATGTAAAAGAAGGATATATAAAGATTTTATTCTTATAGACATATTTAAAATAAGCATTCCTTGTTTGGGTGACATTATATTTAAAAGACATGTCTGGGTCATATTTCACCTCTAATGCAAATGGCAAAACAATAAGAAATTGTTCTATATATATATATATTTAATGTATTTTAATATTTTGGCTTAAAGTGCAAGAAGGCTATAAAGACATTAAAAACATTTATGTTAAGTACATTAGTTATATATACACATGCATACTTAAATTATTACATTTATATATATTAAATACATCTACATAAAGAGTGGCTCATATTTAGTTTAGGTGAAGTTAACTTTTTAACTTTTTACACATTTAATTGTTGAAATTTGCATGATTTTTTGTGTCTGCATAGGTGAAATAAAAATCTGAGTCATATTTTCATATTTTGTCTATATATATCGTTTTTAATATACAATTTTAGCTTAATGTAAAAGAAGGATATATAAAGATTTTATTCTTATAGACATATTTAAAATAAGCATTCCTTGTTTGGGTGACATTATATTTAAAAGACATGTCTGGGTCATATTTCACCTCTAATGCAAATGGCAAAACAATAAGAAATTGTTCTATATATATATATATTTAATGTATTTTAATATTTTGGCTTAAAGTGCAAGAAGGCTATAAAGACATTAAAAACATTTATGTTAAGTACATTAGTTATATATACACATGCATACTTAAATTATTACATTTATATATATTAAATACATCTACATAAAGACTGGCTCATATTTAGTTTAGGTGAAGTTAATATCTGAATCATATTTCACCCCAAATGCAGTTAAAAAAAAAAATCATATTAACATTTTTTGAATGTCAAATTTTAGCTTAAAGGAAATAGGAAAGGCATACATGTTGAAAGACATATTATAGACATATTTATTATTAAAGACATATAATTGTTTTTTGTTTATATACATATTAAAACGAACACTATTGTTATAAAACACTACAAGTCAAAGTTTGGGAGTTGTTCTCATTTTCTCAGCTTTTTCTGAGAATTGTTGATGTGTTTTTCTAGTTTATTTGAAGTGTTTCAGCAGGAAAGTGTTTCTCTGGATGAGCAGGAGAATGCTTGAGCGGTTTACTGACGGAGCAGAGCTGAGCTGAGCTGAGCTGGATGTACTGGTCGAGCCTGCTGTGTGTGAGCTCTCTCAGCGCCTGACACATGATGAATGCTGCAGAGCAGGGCCTCCGCCCAGACGGGTTCCTCTGGAGCACAGCAGCATCTCTCCTGGGTCAGTGACCTCTCAGAGAAACACAGAAACATCCTCCACAAGCTTCACTGCCTCACACAAACACAGCAGAAGGACCGTTCAGGTGTTTCTCATACAGATCGAATCTAACGGGAGACAGATACTCTAAAAACCCTTCCCCTTCCTAAAGGGTTTTCAATAGAAACGCCAGAAATATGAATGACCCGTCGCATGATTTCAGGCTTTTATGACAAATATCTATATTTCCGGGCGCCCCTGACTGTACAGTACATCTGACATTTACAAATATAGATTCCCATTACAAGAGTTTGTCGTTTATAGCCTGAAGAAACTTTACCGAACACAGTTTTCAGAGAAAATATGAATATTCACTGTCTTTGTAGTTAAAGTTTGGAAGTGTTTGTGGTGGTGGTATTATTGTATTTATGCAAAAACCACACAATTAGACACAATTAGACACTGATTTTGGGATCTTTATTTATGCCAAATGATTTAAGATCAAGTATAGACAGAAATATATATAAATAATTTTATATTTAAAATATATTGTACATTTTGAAATGTGTATATATATATATAGGTTTTTATTATATATATATATATATATATATATATATATACATATAAATATAAATAAAATCCAGAGAAAAAACGTTTACATGGATAAACATTGAGAGAGACTGTCATTTTTTACTTTCTAAAGGTTTTATAATCGATCAGAAAAATCGGATTCTTGCCTAAAAAATGTACATGTATGTGTAAAAGAATCAGCAAGAATAATAAATCAGTGAAAACTGTACTTAATAAGAGTTTGTGATAAAGAAACACTGAGAGACAGTGGGCGGGGCCTCGCTGATTGACGGCTGTGTGCGTAAGAGGGCGGGGCCAAGCGTGCGTTTAGTGGGCGGGGCTCAGCTCGTGAAGCTCCAGGCTTCTACTTCAGTGTTTTGTCAGATGGGTTCGGCTTCGTTTCACACAAATACTCCTTAAGCTTCCTTTTAGTACCACCGCCTTCTCAACTCTTAATCCAGCCATTTGTTTGGGATCTTTGACTTCCTTTGCTCACTACTGCTAGCTGCGACTGATCGGTTTACTGACGCTCGCTTGGCGTTAGGTGAGGAGGAGGAGGAGGAGGATGATGAAGAAGACGCATCCGTTCGCGTATGAAGTGAATGTAACAGCAGCTCAGCGGATTCGGGTAAGATCCTCTCTTTCATCCTCACGCGCTCGCCTGCGCGCACGTCACAAACATCACCATGGTAACCCAAGTTTCCGCCAAGATTGTTGCTACATTGAAACTAAACCCAGCAGTGAACGAACTTAACAGAACTAAACGCTAAATGTAACGCTTAAACGTGGCGCTTAAACGTAACGCTTACATGTAGCGCTTAAACGTAGCGCTTAAACGTAGCGCTTAAACGTTGCGCTTACATGGAGCACTTAAACGTAGCGCTTACATGGAACACTTAAACGTAGCGCTTAAACGTAGCACTTAAACGTAGCGCTTAAACGTAGCGCTTAAACGGAACGCTTAAACGGAACGCTTGCATGTAGCACTTAAACGTAGCGCTTAAACGTAGCGCTTAAACGGAACGCTTACATGTAACGCTTAAACGTAGCGCTTACATGTAGCGCTTAAATGTAGCACTTAAACGTAGCGCTTAAACGT